TTTCTTTCTTTCTTTCTTTCTTTCTTTCTTTCTTTCTTTCTTTCTTTCAAAAAAAGCAGTGTGAGGTTCACATCACATGGAGTATATAGTACAGAGATTTCCCATAAGCCCCCTGCCTCCACCCATACACAGCCTCCCCTGTATCAATATATGCATTTGTTATGACTGATGAACCTGCACAGGCATACCATTATCATGGATCCTGAGCTTTGATTCATGTTCCAGGGTGCAGCCTGGACATTAATACGTTTGGGGTTTTTTTTTTTTGTTTAAGTTCCCCAACTGATTCTAATATACTGTCCGGGTTGAGAGCCCCGACGTAAGCCAATAATGAAGTGTGTTCTCCCAGCCGATGACTGATTCAGGATGAACATGGGATCCAGTTGTGGGCGACAGGGTCTGAGAGGAGGTCTACTGGGGGATTCTGGGAATAGTTTCTTCCCTAATAAAAATAGAAGCACACGAAGGAATGACTTCTCTTCTTAGAGGTTGGTGTGTCTGGATGTGACATTTGGAATAGTGCAGCCATCTTGTGACCAGGAGGACAGCCCCCTCCCCCACCCCCTCACCCCCCGAGGCTAAGCAGACCTACCAAGAAGGATATGGCAGAAGGATGGGAACAACTTGGCTTTTCAAAGACATTATTAGGCGGGGCGCCTGGGTGGCGCAGTCGGTTAAGCGTCCGACTTCAGCCAGGTCACGATCTCGCGGTCTGTGAGTTCGAGACCCGCGTCGGGCTCTGGGCTGATGGCTCAGAGCCTGGAGCCTGTTTCAGAGTCTGTGTCTCCCTCTCTCTCTGCCCCTCCCCCGTTCATGTTCTGTCTCTCTCTGTCCCAAAAATAAATAAACGTTGAAAAAAAATTTAAAAAAAAGACATTATTAGGCTACTCTAGATACCCTGTTGTTGGAGTCTGTGTTATATGTGATAGCAAATTGTCCTTAAAACAATTTTTTTTGAAGAGTATTTGCACTTATTCACATTTGAAAGCTTGGAGGGAATCAACCATTTTCCCCACAACAGTCTCCAATCACTTCCCCTCCCCTCAGCTGGTGTCCATCTCTCTCCTCTTGGCTCTCTGTCCACTCCTTGTTCCAGTGTCTTCCAACCGGGTCTGGCTTGTTCCCCTACCTGAGACTCCTGCTTGTAATTTCCAGCAATTTGTCCCTCCCTCATCACCCCTCCCTAGCCCTGCAAGCAGGTGCCAGCTGAGCCTCCTGATTCTAAACACCCATGCCCACTGGCCGCTCACTTAGGCTGCTGCCCCCAAACTCTGTATCCTGTGGGGTGCCTGAGTGGCTCGGTCGGTTAAGCGTCTGACTTCAGCTCAGGTCATGATCTTGCGGTTCGCGAGTTCGAGCCCCACGCCGGGCTCTGTGCTGACAGCTCGGAGCCTAGAGCCTGCTTGGGATTCTCTGTCTCCCTCTCTCTCTCTGCTCCTGCCCTTCTCTCTCTCTCTCTCTCTCTCTCTGTCTCTCAAAAATAAATAAACACTAAAAAAAAGAAAGAAAGAAAGCTGCCGGCAGGAAGCAGAAATGGATGCTGAGAGCCAGCTGACCTTGGGCAGCACTGTGAACTTGGGGCAGATGACTGAGCCCCTGCAGCCTGTTTCTTGGGGTATCAACACTTAACTCTTAGGATTAGTGTGAGGGTAGGATGAGTGATGGCAGGGAAAGCACCGGGCCTTGTGAGGGGCTGATTAATTTTAGTTATTACTTTTGCTGCTTTCTCCTGGAGTTCCCCGAGCCTGGGCCAGTCCCTTTATTCGCGAATAGGCACTGGAGGTCACTGGAGTTTGCAGGGAGGAGAGACAGAATGGCCCTGAGAGGGTGGCCCAGCAGTAGCCTTGGACGACCAAGGCCCCCGTTCAGCACTAGCCTCTCCCAACGCCCTGCCCTCCCGGCTCCTGCTGGCCGCACGCCGGGCCAGCAACTGTTGTCTCTCAGGCCAGGGGTGTGATATAACCCGCATCTTTGACTTTGTTTATACAAAATCTTGAAAACACCGGTTGGGTGTGGCTTTCACTGCTTAATTCCTTAGAGGCGATATGGGTTGTTTGGGCAGGCGAAGCAGCCACATGTGCAGCAGCTGGCCAGGCTCAGAGCCAGGAGGAGGACAGGCAGACGCTGGCAGTCTCTCGCCGGCCACTCCCTTCTGCAAGATCCAGAATGCGGAGTGCCTGGGGGCAGCCCCGCGCCCTCCCGACCCCCCACCCATCCCCATGCACATCTTCCAACCGTGCTCACTATGGGACAGGACCCTCTGCCCCTGGTTCCTGCCTGGCCCTCAAGTTCTCTACCCCTCTGCCAGAGGCCAAGCGATCTGGGAGCTGGCTCTAGGCCTCTGTCCATTCTTCCAACTGGCTTCAGCCTCTTAGCAAAGCAGAAGGAGAGACACACAGAGCATGAGTGGGCGAGGGGCAGAGAGAGAGGGAGACAGAATCCGAGCTGTCAGCACAGTGCCCGACGCAGGGCTCGAACTCACTAGCCGTGAGATCATGACCTGAGCTGAAGCTTAACCGACTGAGCCACCCAGGCGCCCCTGACCCAGGCTTTTAAATAGCAAGATGGGGAGAAAGATCACACCCCCTGTTCCCTCATATGACAATGGTGCCCCACAGGTGCCAAGCTTCCGGAACAACTGCCTCATCCATGCTGGGAATGCTGCCCAGGCCTGGTCCCAGGGTGCTACGTTCACAGAACATCTTCCCTTTGAGTCAGGGCCAGACATGAGCTCACAAGTCCTCATGTGATCTTCTGGTAAATAAATGTTCGTGCCGGTGGCTCTTTCGTTTGAAAGACAACAGCTCTCTGTTCCCCTGAAGCTTGTCTGCCTAGTAGGAGTTTACAGGGTCGGGGACTGGAAGAAACTAGGATAATGACTTCTCTGTGTCGGGAGGGCGAAGGAGTGAGACCACAGAAGGCCCAGCACCCACTCCAGCTGTGCCCTGGCTGGAGGAACATTCCAACACTGAGTTCTTTTTCAGAGAACAGGCCAACAGCTGCTAGACAGAAAAAAGTTTTCTCCCCTTTTCTGCTCCAAAGCTGTGCCCAGTGTGACGAGGTTTGGAAGGTGACCGCAAGACAGACAAACCATGACTCCTGTACCCCAGGCCCAGGGCAGACATCACGAGTTAATCGGAGCACTGTTTTCTGCTGAACTGTCTGTGGTTCTCCATACAGCCGGGAGCAGGCCGGAGAAAAGCTCTCACCCCGGATGTAGTAGAAAGTCATATACTTCAGTATAAAACAGATCCAGCCTCCCATTCTGGCCCTGCCACTTTATTTGAGCAAGCACTTGGCTTTTGTGTTCTTATCTGTAAATCAGAAATAAGCCTATATCTACCTGGCAAGGTCAGTAGAAGATCAAATTCGGTAACAGGTCCAGTGCTGCTTGCCCGTGCGCGCTTGTTGGAGGGACGCCTGTTTCTACACGCACCCTGACATCGACACATACACTCCTACACTCCACGCAAACATAGTCTGCACGAAATCTGTAGGGATGAAAGGCCACAAGCACAGCTCAAGTTTTCTCTCGGATCTTCCTCTCCTCCTCCTGCTTCTCCTTCTCCATAAAGTGTGTAACGCCCATAACAACATTTGTTATGCAGATTATGCAACCTACTTAAGAAACCCGAGAAGGGCTCTGGGCTGTCAGCACAGAACCCAAGGCAGGGCTTGAATTCATGAACTGTGAGATCATGACCTGAGAGCCGAAATCAGACGCTTAACCAACTGAGCCACCCAGGCGCCCCACCAGAGTCTATGGTTTTTTTTTTTTTTTTACCATATTACGAGTCAAGGACCAGATTTTAAGAAAGAAAGAAAAAAGTCCCTAATATTTATTAAATGTCTACTATGTTCCAGGCACTTCTGTGTACGTTAGCTCGTTGACTTCTTGTAGCAACACCTTCTGTGAGGTTTAGATTTTTTTTCATTTTTAATTTCTGGCAAAAAAAACACACACAACATAAAATTAGTCATCTTCAAGATTTTAAAGTGTTTCGTTCAGTAGGGTTACGTATTATGTATTTTTGTGCAACCGATCTCCAGAACCTTTTTTTTTAGCTTTGCCAAACTGAAACTCTATCCCCACTAAAAGACTCCCCATCCTCCCCTGCCCTCAGCCCCCGGCACCCACCATTTTATTTTGTGTGACTTTGACTCTGCTAGGTACCTCGTAGAGGTGTATCCTTTATTTTTTTTAATTTTTTAATGCTTATTTTTTTTATTTTTGAGAGAGAGAGTGTGTGCGGGGGAGGGACAGGGGGGGGGGGGAGACACAGAATCTGAAGCAGGTCCGAGCCGTCGGCACAGACCCTGACGTGGGGCTCGAACCCACGAACCGTGAGATCACAACCTGAGCTGAAGTCAGACGCTCAACCGACTGAGCCACCCAGGTGCCCCAAGGTATCTCGTTTATGTTTTTGAGACCGACTTACTTCACCTAACACGGTGTGTGTTCAACGTTTGTCACGTTCACGTGTGTCGTGTGGCCCGTGTCAGAATTTCCTTCCTTTTTAAGGATGAATGACTGCCCATTGTAGGTATAGACTGCGTTATGTTTGATCCTTTATCCCTCAGCGGACACGTGGGTTGTCTCCTCTTCGGGCCATGATGAGTAACGCTGCTGTAAACAAGGACCGTACCAGCATGTTTGAGTCCCTGCTTTCAATTCGTTCGGGTCTACACCCAGAAGTGGAATGGCTGGACCGTGGGGTCATTCCGTTTATGTCACGCCCTTGTCAGGAAGAACAAACCTGACGAGAATCAGTGCCTTGCCCACATTCTGCGGACGTGGCAGAATCAGGATTTAACCCGCCTGATGTAACTGAGCTGCCTTTACAGACTTCCCTGTCTCCGGCTGAAAGACACAATGAGGCCCGATTAAAAACTGGGAAGAGTGTAGTTGAGTCGAAATCTACTCGAATCAGGCAGGGCCAGACCGGAAATGCTTAGGAACACTCCAGACGGGAGCCCCGGGGAGAGCCCCGTCCTTGGGTTTTGACTTCTTAACCTTGAAGCATTTATAGGCTTGGGGTTTGGTTTGCTTAAAGGGGCTACGAAGACATTAGGCTTCGGTCTAATGTTGTGCTCGTTTCGTTGCAGTGACGCCGCCCTGAGCAAACAGTGGGGTTCAACGAACTACCTCATGAAAGGGGGACGGGAGTGAGGGGAAAGTAGGGATGCACTCTTCCCTCCCAGGCTGGCATGCGACCTGACGGGTCAGGAAAGGTCTTGCTAGGTGGTTGGGGAGCCTCCTTGGCCCTTCACAGGCAAGACCCACGTCTCTGCCTCTCATTGGGTCTGCTCTTCCAAATCGGCTGCCTCTGCCGCCTAGGGCTCCAGTGACCCTCTTGGCTTGGGATTTCACACAGCGGTGCCCAGGCCTAGCAGGCGCCAGCTTCTCCAAACTTACGGGTCTCCGGCCACCTTCTTCACCAGGAACCTTCTGTCAGGCCCAAGCGCAAAGTCCCAGGAGAGTGAATCTGAGTGGCCCAGCCTGGAGGCGATCACGGGGCACACAGGACCACCCCCTTCCGGGCACTGTGAGGGGGTAGGGGCCTGGTGTCCCGGTGTCTGCGCGGGGTGTCCCCTGGGTGGCCTCTCTCTGGGCGAGGTCCACGAGCTGCCCCTGCCCACCAGCATGACCGGGCAGTGTCCCCCGGGCTCAGTAATCCGGGCCATCTGCACACAGGCTGGGCTGAATTATGGCTTGTTTTTAAATAAAGGCAAGTTTATTCCCACCATTCAGCCGCCTGGAGCCAAGGCCCAGCTTCCTGTTTGCGCTCCCGGCTGGGTCACGCGCTAGCGCCCGAGGCAGGTGCACTGGCTGGGCCTTGCTTTGACCTCAGAGAGCCCCTTGCGTGAGGCCGGTCCCAGTCACTCCCTGCTTGTGGACAACAGTGGTCCCTAGTCCCCCGGCAGCCCTTGGGAGGGATCTCCGCGGCCCTGCGCCCAAACCTTCAGGCCCTGCTCCCTGGATGGCTCCTGCTGGTGGCCAGACAGACCCCGTCCGGCAAGGCTGAGGAAGTCCCTGGGCTCCTACAGCACAAACAGCCGCTTCCTGACCATGAGGTTCCCCCTAGGATAAGCCCTTCTGGGAGCTGAGATCTCTGAGCCCACCAAATCCTCCAACAGGGGGATCCCTCCCTCCCTCGCTCTCTCCTGCTCCAGGGATTCGGCACATTTCAAAGGTGTGGGTGCTTCTGTGATTCCTGAAGTTCGAAGTTGAGGAGGGCTCTGCGGGCAGAGCAGACACGTCCTGGGGGAGAGGGAAGTGGTGGGGAGTGAGGGGGAGGCCCAGGGGCTCCAGCTCCCGGCCCCTCACCCACAAGTAGCCCCCCAGCTGTCCCTTCAGATGCCTCGGGGTACGGAAGGTCTGACGCCACTTCCCAGACACGGGGGCGTGGGCCTTTCGACCTCCTACCCCTTTTCTTCCCATACCAAGAAGAGGCCTTGACTTCACCCAGGGCAGGTGTTAGAACAGTTCCTGACATGTAGAAGAACTCAAGGGGAAAAAAAACGTGCTTGTCAATGAACGTGCCTCTGGGACGTTCTGTGCCTCTGTGCCTTTGCACAGAACAGCTCCCGGGGCTTGTCTCCCCGCGACGGGAATTTTAAAAAGCACAACTCCTGAGGGTTAGATTCGGAAATTGTGGAAATTTCTAAACAAGGAGGACCCAGGTGAGTGAAGGGCAAAGGAGAAATCTTGATTCACACCAGCACCGCCACCAAGGGCCTGGAATATTGAGGAAGGAAAGGGTGGTCCTGGCCTGGGAGACGTGAATAGCCCTCTCTCCACCTCCCTCTCCCTTCCCTGCCCTCTGGAAGCCTTGTGACAGCCCTGGACTGGTCTCACCCCTCCCCTCTCTCCCTCCGAGGAGCTGCTCATCCTGACAGGCAGAGGACTCTGGTGTCCTGGCTCGGGATCCTGCAGTGACACCAGGAACGTCCAGATGTCTGGGGCTGATGTTCTGGAGGGCCTCCCGCCAGCGAAGCACCTCCCTGCGCCCCACAAATGGGGCCGCTTGCCACCCCTCTTTCCCTCTGCCCCCTCCGAGTGCCCGCTTCTACTCCTTCTGGTCCTGGGCTCCTGGTGAGCTGGCCTGGCCTGGCCCTACCTGCTGTCTCTCCGTCCTTCAGGACCTCCAAGTGCACCTGCTGGGCCTGGTGGCACCAGGCGGACCTGGGGTTTGGATCGGGTTCAGCCCGGCCCCAGTGTGGACTTTGCCTGGTTCACACAATCTGTCAGAGCCTCTGACCCCGCGCCAGGCATGGGGTCAACCCCCCTGGGGTTGTCAGTCCATTAAGCAGCCGACTCTCGATTTCGGCTCAGGTCGTGATCTGGTTTGTGGGTTTGTGGATCATGCTTTGTGGGTTCGAGTCTTGTGTTGGGCTCTGTGCTGAGAGCCTGGAGTCTGCTTCAGATTCTGTGTCTCCCTCTCTGCCCCTTCCCCGCTCTCACTCTGTCTCTCTCTGGCTCTCAAAAATAAATAAACATTGAACAAAACTAATAAAGAATAAACAGCTTTATTGAGCTATAGCTCACCCCTTTCGAGTATACAATTCAATAACTTTGAGTGTATTCACAGGATATTCACAACTGGAGAACGCTGTCATCACCCCCTAAAGAAGCCCTGGACCCCTTAGCTGTCACCTCCCCTTCCCCCCTCCCCTCCCCCAGCCCCTGGAAATCGCTTCCTCTTCTGGTTATTTTCATCTAAGTGGAACGGTATACTATTTGGTCTTTTGTGACTGACTTCTTTCACTTTGCGTGTTTTCAAGGCTCATCCACAATGTAACAGGTGTCTGTACTCCATGCGTTTTTATGGCGGAATAAAATTCCAGTCTTGGCTGGACCTCTCTTTGTTCCTCCCTTTATCGGCCGATGCACGCCCGAGTGTCTCCGCTTTTCGGTGGCTGTGAAGGGTGCCACCACTGCGTTCTTAAACTAAAGGTGCATGGAGGGGGGAGGGCATTTTCCTTAGAAATCTCAGCAAATATTACCTTTTCAAAAATTTTATTTATTTTATTTTTTTATTTCTTTTTTTTTGAGAGAGAGAGAGAGAGAGTGCCCAAGCGGGGGCAGGGGAAGGGCAGAGGGGGAGGGAGAGAATCCCAAGCAGGCTCCACACTCACAGAGCCCGACACGGGGCTTGATCCCACGACCACGAGATCATAACCTAAGCCACAATCCAGAATGGGATGCTTAACCGACTGAGCCACCCAGGTACCCCTTGTCTACTGTTTTTCATAGACTTAAAAAAATTTTTTTTGATGTTTTATTTTATTTATTTTTAGTTTAATGTATTTTATTTAATTTTTTTCAAAAAAATTTTTAAACATTTATTTACTTTTGAGACAGAGAGAGACAGAGCATGAACGGGGGAGGGTCAGAGAGAGAGAGGGAGACACTGAATCGGAAGCAGGCTCCAGGCTCTGAGCCGTCAGCCCAGAGCCCGACGCGGGGCTTGAACTCACAGACTGCGAGATCCTGACCTGAGTTGAAGTCGGACGCTTAACCGACTGAGCCACCCAGGCGCCCCTGGCTTAGTGTATTTTAATAGCAAACTTACAGGAACAGCACAGAAGACAGACAACATTAAAAACATGTACTTGCATGTAGGACAACTCAGAAAGCTATAGTGAATGGATGGCATCTGCCGTATGATAAAAAAGCTACAAACACCATTTAGATGCCGTCAATAAGAAATTTACTTGTTTAAAAAAAAAAAAATCCAAATGCTGGCATTGTCCAGAAAAATGTAACAGGTTTATTTATAATTGTTATAAAGTTGAACTGCTGACACGTGTTCACTGAAGCATTCCGACTTGCATTCATGCTTTATGTCCCCGCATTTGTATTAAAAATTCACAAATGAAAATGGAAAAACTGCCAATACCTGATTTCTGTCCCCGATTTTTCCATTTGCAATCATATACTTCGGTACCTTCTGACCCCGTGGGGGGGAAAAAATATATCTAACGTTCAGAACTACCAACAACGGGAAGAAGAGAAAAAAAATTTTTTTTGTTTTTCAAAGAATGAAATGTTTTCCATCGGAGTGGATTCTTAAGCACGTTCTCCGCGTATGCCGCGCGCTGGCTGGATGTCTTTTGGAATAACTGTCACACGTTTGGCACGGATGGGCACACAGGTTGGTGTCTTCCAAGAGGCCCACCGGGTAGGCCTCCCTTGCCTCCTGCAAAGCACCGATAGCCGCGCTCGGGAAGCGCAGGTGTGTTTTGAAGCCCTGAGCAATCTCTCGCACCAGACGCTGGAAAGGAAGTTTGCGAATCGGAAGTTTGTCTAATTTCGCGGAGTGCCGCGGTACCAGGCCCGTAACGATGAGGTTTCTTCACCCCTCCAGTAGAGGGCGCACTCTTGCGATCGGCTTTTGCGGCCAGTTCCTTCCTCGGTGCTTTACCCCTCCGTGTCCATTTGCGGGCAGTCTGCTTTGCACGAGCCGTGGCGCTGAGACCTCCTCACTTAGCCCCCTTCTCCTTCGGCTGGAGCTCGGCGAGCTAGAGGCGGCGCTGGCGTGTTTTTATTTTTTTTTGTTTGTTTTGTTTTGTTTTGTTTTGTTTTTTTGAGAGAGACAGAATGGGAGCAGGGAAGGGGCAGAGAGAGAGGGGAAGACACAGAATCCAAAGCAGGCTCCAGGCTCCGAGCTGTCAGCACAGAGCCCAGCTCGGGGCTCGAACCCCCAAACCGTGAGATCCTGACCTGAGCCGAAGTCGGTCGCTCAACCGACTGAGCCACCCAGGCGGCCATAATAGACTTTACTTTTTACAACATTTTTATGTGTATATAAAAATTGTACAGAACATGTAGAGTTTTATTTCCGTTCTCCGTCTCCCCCAGTTTTCCCTATTACTGATTCCTTGCAGGAGGACGATACATTTATTATAACTAAGGAACCAATGTTAGTACATTCTATTAATTAAACTCTGTAACTTACATTAGGGTTCACTCCTGATGTTGTGTGTTCTGGGGGGGTTGGACAAATATACTATACAAGAACATGGATCCACCATTGTAGTATCATACAGAATAGTTTCACTGCCCTAAAAGTCCTCCTTCCCTGCCGTTCATTCCCCCCTCTCCCCTAAACCCTGGCAACCACAGATCTTTCTACTGTCTCCATAGTTTTGCCTTTTCCGGAATGTCCTATAGTTGGGATCTTACAGTAGACAGCGTTTCCAGATTGGCTTCTTTCACCTAGCAACCTGCATTTAAGGTTGCTCGCTGTCCTTTCATGGCTTGAGAGCTCATTTCTTTCTAGTGCCGAATAATGTTCGTTTTTATTCCTGCAAACGTTTTCCCAGTCGGAAAGGCCCCCGCCATCTTTGGCTCCTGGAGCCTTGCCCTTGGCAGGGCCTAGGTGGGGGCCTCGCTGTGCCTGCTGGGGCTTTGACAGCTGGCTCTGTCCCTCTCCCTTACCTGTCAGGACTGGGCTCTAGGCGTTTCTGTGGGGAAGATGCCCTGTGAAGCTTTGTGGGAGGAGGGAGGGGGGAAAGAAGGAAGGGGTGAGGCCTGGAGGGAAAAGGTGCTGGGTGGAGGCAGAGAGAGAAGGAGGCAGCTGCCTTGGGGGTGCCGGGGTGACCTCAGGCATTTCGGTCAGGCAGATGTTGGTCACCGCTCAGCTGGAGGCCTGGGGACAGGCAGGAGGCCGACCTTATCCTTCCCAGCTGTCCTTTGTTCTGAAGATGTGTGGAGCTGAGGGACCGGAAGGCCAGAGTCCCCACTCTTCCCAGTGGGTAACTGGGAGTCCTCCAGTCACAGGGCAGTGAGAAGGGGTCAGAGAGAGAAACTCTGGTTCCCCGGCCTGGGGGGTGCGGGGCTCCGGGCAGCCAAAGGGCAAATAACAGGCTCAGGCCTGGTAAAGTGTAACCAAGTGAAGAAAGGTTAACAGAGGCCCCAACATCCACGGTATCTGGCAGGACGCCCCGCCCCCGGCCAATCAGTTACCCGACGGCAGATCCAGGGACCGGGCCCACCCCCAACAGGACTCGTGCTGGCATTTGCTGCTGCTGGCCTGTGGCAGGTGCGGGGGCCTGAGGCCCCCCCACCCTGAGTTTTCTGGGCCATGTGAGTTGTCCGGGCCAGTGGCTTCTAGTGCAGTTCCAGACGTGTCTCCTTACCTCATGGCTGTGAGTTGAGCCCTTCTTGTGAGCCCTCCAGGTGCCTTGCGAACAGTGGAAACCAACTTCAGGCTCCCCCTCCTTGGTTGAAAGCCTCCTTAACCTCGGGGTGTGTTGAGGAGGTCTTGCAATGTCTCCCCCTTCCCCTTCTTCCGTGTCCCGCCTCCTACTGTTCCCAGGACTTTGTGAGCTTAGGTCCTTCCTCCCTGTGGGGGGTCCTGGGCAGGCCTGAGCCCCCCTCCCCACTGTGTGCAGGAGACTTTAATCTGCTCCACCCTTGCGGGGTGGGGGGGTGGTCGGGGGGAATGGGCTAGACAGGGGAGAGGAGACAGGAAGAGCAGAGACGGGAGGGGGGAGGGGAGCGAGTGTGCCTTTGGAGAGTCACAGAGGCGACAGGTGGTCTGCCATTCTTCCCATCGGGGAGCAGAAGCCGTTAGGTCTGGGCAAGCCCTGTGATTAGCTCTGGCCAACGGGCAGAAGTGACCTGTGTAACTTCCCAGGCTGTGTCTTGACACGAGCGTACTTTCCTCCATGCACTTCTGGAATGTTCTCTCCTCAAGCCAACCCCGTGTGGTGAGAAGCCCAAGCTGCCCAGAGAGGCCCTGTGAAGGAAGATACAAGTAGGCAGTATGCCAGCCTCAGCAGAGCGGGCTACCGACAACAGGCACCCCCTTCTGGAACTGTCCAGGCTGGGCCGGGCCGGCCCTACCAACTTGTAACCAAAAGAGCCAGTTGAGGGGCGCTTGAGTGGCGCATTCGGTTAAGCGTCCGACTTCAGCCAGGTCACGATCTCGCGGTCCGTGAGTTCGAGACCCGCGTCGGGCTCTGGGCTGATGGCTCAGAGCCTGGAGCCTGTTTCCGATTCTGTGTCTCCCTCTCTCTCTGCCCCTCCCCCATTCATGCTCTGTCTCTCTCTGTCCCAAAAATAAATAAACGTTGAAAAACAAAACAAAACAAAACAAAAGAGCCAGCTGATCCCAGCAGCCTAGTAGACTCGTGATACAAGTGGTGGCTGACTTAAGACGGTAAGTGTGGGGCTCATTTACTATGCAGGACATGCGGGTGATTTATCTGTACAGCATCCTGTCTTTGGGGGGAACCCCCTGCCCCATCCAGGGGGCACAGCTCACCCCTTCCCGCCCACTCCTCTTCCCTTCCCAGCGCTGGCTGGCTCCTGCTCCTGTTTCCCAGAAGTTGGCCCCTGAGACTGAAGGGGTTGGAGTTGAGTCATCTCAGGGGCTTGTCTTAAAAGCCCTGGGTCCAAAGTTGCCCTGATTCTCGTGTTTTCACGGCTGGCTGCTCAGCTTTCTTCAGCCAATCATCACCGGCCAATCATTATTCCCTGCACATTCCCTCCCTCCCCCTCCCCACCTCCTCGCTCTTTTGGGCATTATCTCAAGTCAGCTCCTCCTGTTTCCACCAAAGAACTGTGACCCCGAAACTGAAATCGGTGCGAGGGAGGACATTGTAGGTCACCACGCCCCTGGGAGGAAGGTCACCAGGGAAGTAACAGGCTCCGCGAGGTCACCGGGGATTCACGGTCCTGATACCGGGAACTGAACTGCTGATCGATGTGGTGTCTGCTTATCTGAGGCCGCAGGGGATGCGGGACAGGAGGGTGGCACACTGGCCCCCGTGGTGCTGGACAACTTGGCATGGGGGCGCCGACACCCCTGGGCTCTCACCTCCCTGGGGGACGGCACTCCACATTGGCTGTCGCAGCTGGTGTCCCAGAAAACCAGACTGGGAGGCTGAGTCTACAGGTGGCTGAACAGACACGCAGCAGAATTTATAGTCACTTGGAAGTGGGAGGTGGTTGGGGGGGGGTTAGTAGTGGGGTGTAGGGTGTTCCTTGAAAAAGTCTGGAAGCACAGTCACGTGGGAGCATTTAGAGGACTCTTCCTGGAGGAAGCAGTTCCCACCGTGCCCCTGGGCCTGAGGCAGCAACCCTGCCATGCCACCGGGGCCCTAATGCCTTGTTCCTAACCACCACCACCCCCACCCCGGTCTGGACACCCACCCAGGGCCTGAAAGGAGTGTGAGAACGAATAGCTTTATCCAGAAGGAAATGTAGGAATTATTAGCTAATGCAAAAATGCTGGGGAATATTGTGGGAAATGCTTTGGGGACGCTCAACCAAGGAGCTGCCTTCTGGAGAACGAGCTGGCCCTGACCTGCTGCGGCTTAGTGCCCCACTGGTCTGCACGGGTAAAGCCTGACCGGAAGCAGTCGGAAGGTGCTGGACGCAGGCCATTTGCACCAAATACCTTCCATCCTGGTGGGGGCGGGTTTGCCTTCATTAAACCAGACTTTGGATTTAGATTTACTTGCCTGCCCCACACCCGCGGGGTTCACGGAGGGCACCCCCACCCCCACCGCTGGGGACTCCCACAAAACATGGATTCTGACCACAGAAGTCACTTCGCGGCTGCAGGAGTAAGGCAGTGGACTTAGGCTGGTGGGGTCACTGCTCCCGCCACATGGCTCCCTGTCTGGGGACAGCAGGTGTCAGAAGAGACTCCTGAGGCCCAGGTGCCCCGAAGAAAGGTTTTTGGCTGCCCTCTCAGAAGCGGAAGCCAAACCAGCCAAGAAGGGGCCAAAGGTGAGGAGAACTGGAAAAGGCACTGGAGGATCAACATCATAAATACTGGTGATGAGCTTATTACTAGGGCGTTGTGGCTTTTAC